CTATCACTTCTTTCCTTTTGCATGATCCATACGATACAGACGAAACGAGAAAATGCACTACTTCCATAAATGACTCTGTTCATAGAAGTATTAGAAGCGCCTATGTTCTTGAATTCACATGTATCTTGTTATTCTATCATCTGTTCATAGGTCTTAAAAAAATACGTAAGTTGAAAAAAATTCACTGCATGATATTACTCAAAGGCATAATGGTCATATGGCATTTCAAGAGATTTTATTGACTTACTTCTCATGCATTGCATTCATNACCTGATCAGCTGGTATACGTTGATGATTTTGCCCATAGTGGCCGAGATGATATGATGGGATGCTCTCAGAGGCTTGATGATGTTATGAAACATGTACCTATGCACAACATGACATTCATACGCATATGCATGACACTATTAGTATTTCATGATTTACAGAGTTATCCAGACTTACAGGTTGAGTCAATTAGTCCATGTTTCTTCCATGTCATTTATATACTTATTTATGTGCCTTACATACTCGATACATTATTCGTACTGATGTCCCTTTTGCATGGGGACGATGTGTTTCATGCCCACAGGTCCTGATAGACAGGATGAGAGCCCTCCAAGTAGGCTATTAGCTTAGCGGAAGGTGTTGGTGCGCTCTATTTGCTTCGGAGTTGCTTATTTGGTCAGTATGATTAGGACATGTATTGATTAGTATGGCGGGGCCCTGTCCTGACCTTTATGACATTTATGTACTCTGAAAGGCTTGTGGACACATGTTATGTACGTAAAGTATTGTATGGCCTTGTTGGCCTATGTTCAGTGCACGAGTGATCATTTTTGGTCTTATAGGCTAGTATGTCATATGTATAAGTTTGTATTTCCCCATGCTTTACTTCGGTTAATTTATCTATGATAGAATAATAAGGAAGATATATTACGTCGGTACTCGATTGAGTAAGGTACAAGGCGCCTGTCGGGCCCATCGGTTTGGGTCGTGACATCGGGCTTGTTTCGGGTTGATTTCAGACCATTTTTCCTTCATTTTCCACTGATGTATTATGGTGGTTTTTGGTGTCTCGGTCCTTCATCGCATTCGCGAGGCAAGTGTCACGAACGCGTAGTGTATTTTGATGGCAGTAGTATTTCTTTCATCTTGTTCGCAAGTATTGGTCAGCGTTCGTGTAGAGTTGGCGAAAGTCTTCTTCGTGTTCTCATAAGAGGGATCGTATTCGTGTAGGGTTGAGCTAGGAGCTGGAACTGGAGGCCTTTCTTCATCGCGTTCGTGTAGTTGGAGCCACGTTCGCGAAGCTATGAGTTATTTGTGAGTCGCGTTCGCGAGGTGTTTATCGCGAACGCGAAGTGTGTTATCGTGGCAGATTATTTTGTTCATCATGAACGCGATGGTATTGTCGTGTTCGTGAAAGAGGATGTCTGGGCAAAAGTATAAAGTACTCTATTTCGAGGATTTCGACCATTTTCACATTTTTGGAGCTATAGAGCTCGGATTGAGGTGATTCTTGAAGCAATTTTCACCATTTGAATTTGGGTAAGTGTTCTCTACTCAGTTTTGGTTATATTCCGTGAATCTATTTTCGATTTTAGCTTTTGGTTGATGAATTTTAAAGAGGAAATTGTGGGTTTTGGCCTAAAGTTTCATAAAATGAATTTCTGAGTTTTGAACATCGAATTGGAGTTAGAACTGAGTGAAACTAGTATGGTTGGACTCGTAATTGAATGGGTTATCGGGTTTTGTGAGTTTTTCCGAGTTTCGGGGTACGAGCCTAGGTGTGATATTTGGCCGGATTTGGGATTTCTTTAGGCTTTATTTGATATATTTGAGTTGTTTTTGCCTAGTTTTGCGCCGTTTGGAGGTCTCTACGTGCGTGATGGAACTTTCGAAGCATCGCTTGACTTGCTCGGTATTGGAATTAGCTTGTTCGAGGTAAGTAACTCGTTTAAACTTAGTACTTATGGTATGAAACCCCGAATTACATGCTATGTGATTGATGATGAGGTGGCACACATACTAGGTGACGGGCGTGTGCACGTGCACACTGTGATTGAGACTCCGTTGTTTTCATGGTACTGCTTAGTGGCCCTATTTTGTTGATATATGTGTTTAACCATTTGATAAAGTAACTGGACTGTTAATCATGCTAGATATCATGTTTAGGCTTCATGCTGATATGGTTAGGACCCATAGTGGTCGTTTCTTGCTGTCATCTCACTAATTTTATTGATATTTCGTACTCAGTCATATTCATGCATTCATATCATATCTCAGTCTCAGTTGTTGTTTATTGATACATCATATCATTATTGTCGGGCTAGTTTCATGACGTTGTGAGCCCGTGAGTGAGACTGAAGAGATTGATGAATGAGTGAGGCTGAGAGCCTGATTGTGAGTGGCAGTTATGGGATTGGGGCCGCACGCTGCAGCATGTTATATTAATTTATGCCTGGATCTAGTTTATAATATCGCTTGGGTTGTAGGAGCCCCTGCGAAGTCTGTACACACCCCCAGTGAGCGCAGATGATATTATTGAGGGATGAATTTTCCTGGACATGGATTTGTCCGAAGTACTTGATACCTGGAGATGGATTTCTCCACAGGGTTGGATTTCCTTTTTTCCTAGGTACTGGGTGACTTAGAGTCAGTATTGTATATGTTCCGGGATGGATTTCATTGGGCCGTATGGGCCTTATACAGTACCGAGTGGTTGATCATGATGAGTGAAAAGTATGAGACAGTGAGATTGAGTACTCTGAGAGTGTGAGTACATGATTCATCTCTGAGATACATGGCATTGGCATGCACACATGACATACAGGCATAAAGATGCATTTTTCCTCATGATGTACAGTATAATGTCATTTATGACTTTTTACACACATTGATATGTGGGCATAGAGAGGTATTTCATACTTGTTATCTAGAAAAAAAAACTAAACATCTAATTTATTGTGGAAAGGAATTTTGGAAAAATTTACAGTTTTCAAACTATCTCATATTTTACGACGATTTCGGTAAAGGATTTGAGTTTTTACTGATATTCTTGAAAAGTGGAACTATTTTCGGAAAACTGTGAAAAAGCTAAGCGTTTTTTATCTCTGAGTTACTTTCCTATTTATATTTTCTACGTTGCTATGAACTGCTATTGTTTATTGGTGTTGGACCCGACCTATGTTCCAGCTCGTCATTGCTTTCAACCTAAAGTTAGGTTTGTTACTTACTCAGTACATGGGATCGGTTGTACTAATACTACACTTCTGCAAATTGTGTGCAGATGTTGGCTGATGTTGTTATTGTGCTTGATGGTTGCCGTATTTAAAAATTATGTTTATGTAATTTTCAAATAGAAGATGTATTTACTTCATATCAGCTTTGTAAATTCTATTCTTAGAAGCTCATGATTTGTACTACCAGTCCTTGGAAAATGTTTAAGATTCAGATAATTTCTTTGTTTGATTGTCTTATTACTATTATTGAAATTGGACAGTTATTAGTTGGCTTACCTAGCGGGTTGGGTTAGGTGCCATCACGACTAGCGGATTTTGGGTCGTGACATAAACCTCTCTGTAACAACCTCGTTTGTTTCGAATATTTTTGGATGTTATAGCGAAGTGCTGTTATAGAGAACATATATTATAACATAACATGAAAATTAGTTCCGAAAAACTTAACTTTTACAGTGAAGTGTTGTTATATAGGGATGCTGTTATAGAGAGGTCTGATTGTATACCTATATATTTAAGAAACAAAAATAAGCAAATAGAAAAATAGTTTTAAATTAGGTAAGAGAAGGGCTATGACTCATCCATCAAATTTAGGCAAGGAGAAGACATTACTCGTTCATTAACTCATGAATATATTTTAATCTATCCAAATTTAACATAATTATTTCGTCATTTTGACACTTGTATATTGATAGATAGCTTGCACCTTGGTCTTACAAAATAAAAGAAGAAGGGCCATGTGCAGGATATCTAAGAAGTCTTCCAAGTTTTCTTAGATTTCAGTCCTCAATATTAAAGGAACTCTTAGTAAAAGAGTAGCCTAATATTATAACTAATTTACACTAACCTCCATATTTTAAAGTCAGATAGCACATGGCCAACGAAGCGATTTCACGAAATCTATGAACCCAACTGTAACTTAATTAAAAATATTTCTTAATACTATATCCTTTATGGAAGCTCTGAAATCTATAACAAAATGTAATTTTAGGAGACAATGGTAATATTCCTAAGTGACCAATTTACCTTGGGCACACCCATTAAAGAAATACTAAATTCTAGACAAAAACAGTTAGTGTGACTAAACTATCCTTAATTAAATGTTACAGCATAATTTAATGTGAGGAGTAAAAGACTTTAGTGATATATACATAAGGGTAATTTTGGAAAAATAAATTGAATTTTTTCTTGATTATATAAATGGACACTTATTTGGACCAAAATAAAAAAGCAAATTGGTCATTTATTGTTGGCCGGAGGGAGTAAAAAAGTTTTTTGGGGGGAGAGGGGTGGGGAGGAAGGAAATTCAGGTCAATAATGTCAGGTCTTATTCTAGTTCCAAATGCAGCTGTATTTGTCTCTCATAATCTAATAATTTGTTGCCAGTAAGAAGAAGCGTCTTATAGTCATCATATTTTGCTGCTATTGGCTGTTACAGTGTTACTTGCATTGTTTGGGAACGTACTAAAGTTTTATTTTCTTTTCACTTATCTTCGGTTTAAAATCAAATAGTATAGTTTAATCACTAGCCCATATATAAGTGGTTAGTTTGCATGCTAACTATTTCATCGAATACCTGCTATATTTTAGTAAAGATGAGAAGATATAATCTAAAGTATCTTTTACTTTAGTCTTGCCGAGATTTAAATTTTAATTTCCCATGGTTTTTACCACACTGTGAAGCCACACCCTTAAATGCAATTGAACAAATTCATTCGTATTCCTTTGGAGAGAGGAAATTATTGAGCGTAAGCTAGTTAAAGTTGAAGAAAGAAAATAATATAAAACAAGAATGAACTGTATGAATAAATCTGTATGATGGCAGCAGAAATGGTATCTATAGGTAAAGAAAAGACAATGGTAATGTTAAAACGAAACTCCTAAGTTTCAAAAGTTTCACCTCCCCAATAATTTAATCATGTCCTTCAGACCTAAAAAGGGGAAGAAAGAAAATTCGAAAAAGAAGGCCAGATGCTCACGGCCTTTCACTATCGGAGTTGAATATCGTCATCTCCATCTCCATCTAAATCTGTCTTCTTTGTACGCTAGTTTACGCATCAGCCACAGAAAGAAATGTTAGAAGAAAGCTAGTTGCATAGCTGAATAAGTAAAAAAAATTAAGTTTTCACAATGTATAGTAGTAGCGTTTACACTATTTTAAAAGTTTGTCTGCAACAATAATTACCATGTAATTTTCATGGTAAACTTGATATGATAATTTCAAAATAAAATAAGTCACCTACTACAACGGTTAAATTGAGACGCTAATGTATGTATATAACTTAAATCTTTCGTATATACCTATAAAGATAAATGTAAATACCTACTTAATAAGCATTGTTGATAACCTAAAATATATCGTAAGTAACTTATTGCGATAACAAAATAAAATAAAATACTTTAATGGTGTAAAAGTTCTTTCCTAGCAATGTATCCAAGTTAATTATTTCTTGTTCTCTTAAAAGAACTCAACTTTACGGAGAGAATCATGTATACTTGGTAAGATATCTCCTTTCAAACACACCGCACGCTACTATTAACGTCAAAGTCAAAACTGTGTACGTAATTCAAGCATATAGACGTATGAGACGCAAAACCACTGTAATATGAAAAGACTTGAAGCTAACAGGAATCATTAATTAGTGAGGTGACATTATTATATAGTGAAAAATTTAGTAAAATCTAATTTAGAGTTTGACTTACATATACATAGTAGTAAGAAATTTTGTATTATTGCAACACTTGATAGCGTAATTGTTTTTACACTATCATGTTTATTAGTTAAACTCAATCTTTTAAGCTGTCTAACAAAGAAAAAGTACATATTTTACTTTCAACTAGAAGGGAAAAAGTGATTATCCCATAATTAGAAGAAGTATGCAAAAAAATTCAGGAAAAAATGTAACCAACCATCCCTCGGGGTAACCCAAAGTACTAGAAAGAGGAGCAATAAATGTAATAAAAGAGAGAGGAAAGAAAGAGATTTGAACGAGAAAGTTACCAAGATAATAAACTGTTGAAAGGAAAAAGCTTCAATGGCATGCAGTGAAGAAGTTAACAAGAAGGTCCAATGCTCCTTTCCTCTTCACTTTTGGCTCTCTGTTGCTGCTGTGGTGTCTGTGGCTGTTGCGGTAGCTGCTGCTGATGATTCTGCTGCTGCTGTTGTTGTTGGAGCAATTGATGCGGCTGAATTTGAACCTGTCCGCAATGTTCCTGCTGGGTTTGCTGAATCTGATAAGGATTGTCAAAGGAGCCCAAAGCCAATGAAGGTGATACAGAAGAACTCATTTGATGAAATCCGGTAGCAGTTACTGGGCCTGACAGACAAGAGAGGATTTAATCTTTATCAGATCAAAATTTCAAATTTTAACTTTTCTCGCATATATGATGGTAGTCATTTTCAACTAATATGTTTTCTTGAAAATTGGTTTTCATAGAGAATATTGTTTTTGAAACTATTTTCAGAAGTTTGTTTAGTGAATAGAAATTATTCTTACAAAAAACTTATCTTAACATTAGTAATAATATTCGGATATCACAGTATATTGATCAAATTTCACTAGTCCTATAGATTAGCAATGATATTTAAGTGTTTGTTTAAGCAACTAATATGAATTTAAAAGGTACTATATAATAGTTGTATGGAAAATGTGATTTTCGCCCACAAGTGAGAAAAGTCATTTTTCCTTTTTGTATTTTCTTTGGAAAACATTTCAAACACCAGAAAATGATTTCCTCGTTAAAAAATGTAGAAAATACTAACTTCTATCACACCAAACAAACCCTATATATGTCTAGAATAATTTTTAGGATTTACACACACATATTTACGTTATACATAATCCAGAGATAATTGAACCTATCCTTTAAACTTACAGCCGCCACTACCTGCAGAATCAAACCCACTGTTGAATTGTGGATGCTGCTGCTGTTGTGGTTGTTGTTCGTAAGTTCTCAACATTTCCTGTTGCTCCCTTGCCGCCATCGCTGCCGCAAATTGATGAGCTTCAATAACTTGCTGATGATTTTGCTGTTGTTGTTGTTGAGGATCACGCAACATTAACTGAGCACCATGTTGTTGTTGTTGTTGCATCCCTGTTGGCAATCCCAACATTGGCTGCATATTATAAGGCATCATGGTAGAAGAAGACGGATTATTCGGATGCTGTTGTATATACCCCGGGTGTTGAAGAATTGGCAACATTGCTGATGGACCAATGTAAGTTGCTAATTCTTTCTTAGCATTCAATAAATCATCTTGGACTTGCTTGAGCTTATGTTGAAGTACCGAAATTAGGCCAACACAACCATAAACTGGATCACGAAGGCGATACTCGGCTTCATAGGCGAGGGAATTTACAGCATCTTCACGTTGAGTAGCGTTTAATTCGTTGAGTAATTTAGCCACATTACTAGCCCCAAAAACCTTGTGAACATTGGCAAATTTCTGAGGTTGATCAGGTGGGAAGTATGGTGCAAAAACACATTCTTGAGTGCATTTTCGACGCAAGAATTTGCATGCTGCACACGGAGAGTTGGACGAGGACATCGTTGGCCTCCCTATTGTTGTAGACAAATGGCCCTTGCCTCTATAAGAACAAACAAATTATGAACCCTCAGAAAATTATACAAAATACATTTTACAGTAGATAAATAAATTGTAGTCGTTCAGATATTTTTACTCACAATAAATTATCAATAAACAATGGAGTAGGTAATAAATTTGTCTGTATTAAAGAATGCATGGTATTAAAGAAGCTGTTTCATTAATTTACAATTTTGGAGTAGAAAGGCATTAGAGTGTTATTGAAGCAAACATGGCAAGTAAATAAAACAATAATCTACATTGAATATAGAGGTCTTTTCATTTATTTATTCAAGGAAACTAGGGATGAGTGAAAATAGAAGCTGTGGGTGATTAATTAGTAACAAAAATTGCCGGCCAATTCTTCCTAAAAAGTAATACCAAAGTTCATACTCGATCCAATTCTCAGAATGAATAAAAGCAAAAGGGTAGATTTTTATGACACGTTTGCACCAAAAAAGAAAATAACATAAAAAAAGAAGAAAAAAGAAGTGGTTATGTAGAGAGACGGCGGTGAAGAGGAAATTACTTGCAGTTGTGGTTTAAGATCCCAAGTTAGTAAGTGAATCAAGATCTCTCTACATCAACGCAAAATTTATTGTGTTTCCTTATCAAATCAAACTTTTTCTCCAATTCACAAAGAGAACATGATAACAAACACAGAAATAAAGATCCAAAAAGCAAAAAGAGAGGAGAAGAGTTATAAAGAACACTAAGGATAATCTCACCTTGTGTTTTCGAAACTTCTATAGATCAAACCTCAAAATGAAGATGAAGATTAATTCATTCTTGGTTCATAGGAGGGAGTGGAGGGCTAGGGTTGCTGTGAGAAAGTTGTCGATCCGATCTTCAAGTTTTGACGATCCCAAAGGAAGAAGCAGCAGAAGAAAAGAACACAACAAAAAGAGAACACGTTTATTCTTAGTAGGTTTTATTATGAATATGAGACAGAGCTACAGAATTTGGAAGAGATTAAAAGGGAAGAGATATCTCATTACTATGGAGTACTATAGCCGACGTCATTTTTATTATATAGTGGGGTAAGCCTGTAATTTGATCCATTTCCGAGGGTCTAATGTGAAAAGTCGTAGCGTCCACGTAGAGAGAGGAAGAAACCTCCGTTATGAATTTCTATTCTAATATAACTAATGAATAAATGTGAATCTGAGTAGCCTCTTTGTCCCTAGACCAATTTTGTATTTCCATATGTACCCTTATTAAAAGTCAAAGGTAGGGTGTTCATAAAAATCCGAAAAATCAAACCAAACTGACCAAAAAAATCGATACTTTTTGGTTTGGTTTGGTTTTGGTTTTGAATTTTAAAAACCGATCAAATTTGATTTTATTTTGGTTTTAATAAAAAAAAAATCGAACCAAACCGACTATAGGAGTAACTATTTCAAATTTATTATTACACCTATATATATGTATATTTTTATACAAAGTTTCAAAAAATTTAAGGTAAATGTTAATAGTTTGCACTTCTAAAATAGTTCTTTACATTTACATTCTAGTTTGATTAGTAGTTTTCTTTTGTTAAATGTAAGAATCCATTTCGTGTTAAAAATAATATATTTTTAATTGAGTTCCTAAATTATTCATCACTATTTGATTCAATTATCATCAATATATCTTGGTAAATGATAAATTTCTCTAAGGGCAATTGATTTGATAGTGTTATGTTGAAAATGTGGTTGTCGGAATATGTGTTTGGTAGTGTATGTCTTATATTTAAGAAAAAATCGACAAATAACCGAAAAACCGACAAAACCCAACATAAACCGAATCGAGTAAAAACCGACTTAATTGGTTTGGTTTGGTTCTAATATTTGAAAAACTGACTTACTTGGTTTGATTCTTTTTTAGGAAAAAACCGATCCAAATCGAACCATGAACACCCCTAGTCAAAGGTGCTCTATAGGTCTCGTTTAAATTAGTACTCCTATGTATATGGTTTTATTAATCTAGATCAACTTATGTGCACTAGTTATTACGTGGTAAAAAGTATTTACACACTTATATAATTTAGAGTATAATTTACTCTGCCCCTAAACCTTTAAGGGTTTGAAAAATAAAACCTCCTCACATTTTGAATGGGAAAAGAAACTTCCTTATGCAATATTTTTTTTGGTGAGAGTTTCTTTTTTAAAATAAAGATTTTATTTCTCTCTCTATCCTTTTAAAGGTGAAGTATAATATTTTTCATCCAAACCAATACTTGAATTTCTTGTTTCTTGCTTGTAAAATTTAAGATGTTTTTCAATTATATTGAGGCCATTGTTAATATTTTTGCAAAAAGGAAAAAAATCCTACATACAAAATTCAAGAAATATGAGAATGCACGTTCAACCATGGATGCTTTAGCATTTCAATTTGAAGGGAAAAGATACATTAAAATAACCAATTCTTTGACATATATATTAGATGAAAGAATTATTGCTATGAGAATTAATTTATTTATGCATTTTCTTTGTATATTAATGTCACGACCCAAACCGAAGGGCCGCGATGGGCACTCGGTGCCTAACTCAATCGAGTACCAACGTAACGCATCCTTCTTATCATATTATTATGGGTAAATGAACCGGAAAGGCCGTCATGAGATAACCAGAATTAAACATAAGAGAATACTCGACATAGGACGACCCAACATGATATAGAAATTTATACATATGATATACTGGCCTATAAGGCCGACATGGTCATATGTACACTCATAACATAGGCTGACAAGGTCATACAAGTATCCATATACATGACATCTATCTACAAGCCTCTAAGAGTACATAAACATCATATGGCCGGGATGGGGCCCCGACATACCAATCAATACATGTCCAAAGTATACTGATCAAATAGGCAACTCCGGAAGAAGTGGAGTGCACCAACACCTTTCGCTGAGCTGGTAGCCTACTAGGAGAATGGTCAACCTGTCTATCGGGACCTGGGGGCATAAAACGCAACGTTCCCAGGAAAAAGGGGCATCAGTACAAATAAAGTACCGAGTATGTAAGGCATGAAAATCAGTATATAAAAGACATGAAATAAACATGGAGTAAAGGCTCAACCTGTAATTCTGAATAGCTCTATGAATCATGAAATATTTATAATGACATGCATATACGTATAAAATATCATATTATGTATAGGTATATGCATACATAACATTATCAAGCCTATGAGGGCGTCCCATCATATCATCTCAATCTTTATGGGCAAAATTATCAACATATACCAACTAATCAGGTGTTGCATATAAAACACCGTAAACTTTTCACATACCCAATATACATATAATATACGCGTATATAACCCTTCTGGTCATGGGTCAATGTACACGTATAAATGAATGCAATGCATAATGAAGTAAGTCAATAAGATCTCTCGAAATGTCATAATACCTTCAGATAAACTTTATAAACTTACGTATTTTCTGAGACCCATGAACATACGATATAATAATAGGACACATGAGAAATCAAGAACATAGGCACCCCTAGTACTTCTATGAATAGAGTCATTTATGAAAGTTGGTCATCTGCTCATTTTGTTTGTATCATATGAATCGTGCCAAAGAAAAGAAGGGGTAAACTTAACATACCTTTGTCATTTATTTAACCACACTACGCCAGTTCAGCCCGTTAGTACTTTAATCTACAACAAACAATAAGGACCATTGTTAAGCTTACAGAAGTTAGAACTCAACACAAATGAGCGACTAGCTCATCTACAAAATTTTGGAGAGCACCTCCCCTTATTCTTTTTATTTCCCTCAAATCCAACCACACAACAAACAATATATAATTAAGCTCTTTCTCGAGTAACCCAACCACAATTTCAATTTGGAATATGCTCACTACAAACCAATAATGGCGCGGCAAAAGTAACAGCTAACGAGCATTAAACTCGATTTTACAATATCAACAACACTTCTCCAAGCCTTCTCTTCTTACAAACATATCAACCATAATAGCAATAGTACTTTAAAGTTATTTCTACTGATTTTCAACCATAAAACATCAAGAATTCAACTCCAAAATAGTCCAGCAACTACAACACTTCAACATGAAGTTCAACCTACTTCGCAAGTTTTCTTTATCAAATAAATTAGATATACATATATGATCTTAAATACATATAGAACAAGTCAAATCTTACCTTGATAGCAAGAGTACTTGTCCAACTAAGCTTTACTTCAAGCTCAAACAAGCTCTTTACTCCAAACAACAAAGTAAAGAGATAACTAGGTGATCTTGATCTTCCAAGAGAGAAATCACCTTACCAACTTGTGGTCTTGAACCCTAGGATAACTTTGACAGAGATCTTGGGCTAATATTTCGGAGCTCCTTCACGCTTTAATAGAGAGAGATGGATTATGAATTATTTTCTAAGTGAAATTGAGATATATCTGTGTTTATATGGCCCCACTAATGGGCTTGGGCATATGGGTCTTGGGTTGCCCCAAGACTTGCCCATCTTATCCTTTTTCATTCCCTTTTTAATTTGGTCCACAATCTCTAAGTAGGTGATGCACCTACTTGTCCCCTACTTAATCAAGTAGGTGATACATGTTGGTTCTTTTTCTATTTTGAAACATGTGTCTCATCCTCGTTAAATAATTTAGACATGTGTCGAGTAGCTCAAACAAGGAGGACGAAAAGTAAGTTGGTGAAGCAGGCACGTTGGGTAAGCAAGCAGCTCATTTTTATTTGTCAAAAATCTCATTTCTCACGTTTAAATACATTTGTCCTCAACCTAGTCGTTTGTATGATGAACTGAAATACGGGATGTAACATCATTAGATTACTTTATATACTTTCAAAGAGAAACTCATTTATGAGCTTACATCAATTGACTTACAACGTACTTTCACGTACGAAAATATGGGGCGTATCAATTAAAATTATTATACTAAAGCAATTATTAAACTTTACTTATTTTAAAAATATCTCTATTGAACATGAAATTATAGCTGATAATGTCACATTTAAAAATTTATTGTGCATTTTTGCATTACATCATATCTTAAACTATGCAAGAAGAAGGCTAAAAGGGAACTCCGTAAATTAATATAGATCCTAATTATTTTCATATCTTGAGCTTTTTGCAATAATGAAAGAACTTGATTATTCTAAAAATTATCTATTCAAAAAACAAAAGATTTTTATTAAAAGAATTATTTCGCTGGAAAACTAATTCACAAGGGGGTTCCCTTTCCCATTCGAAACGTGAGGGAAGGGGATTTTGTTTCCCTAACCCTTAAATATAAATAATTATATTTATAGTGTTAAAATCTTTCATTGATAATCTATATATTATTCATATCCTAATTACATGTTCCATTAAGTTTTTTCTTTCCTTTGTCCAACCATGTACTTATCATACACTCATACTAATGCCTATTTCGCCGAAAAAAGAAAATTAATGAACTAGTTAGTTACTGTTCTCTTCTCCAGCTAGTATTGTCTAATTACTCATTTATTTAGTCATGACTATATTAGTAATAAAATTATATCAATTTGTTACAAGTCTCAGAACATTACTAGACACGTTGTACAATATCCTCACGTGCATGAAAAAAGAAAACTTCTGAATAACACTACTAGAATTCGCGTAAAAAGCGACCAAAAATTAGCGACCAAATTTGGTCTGTCAAGAAAAGCGACCAAAGTTGGTCGCCAAACTGCCGAAAATAATAATAAAAAAAATTGAAATACTTTAGCGACCAAAGTTGGTCGCTATTTGGCCGCAAATTTAGTCAAATTGTTGACTGGACTGATCAGACTTGCTTGGTCAAATATATACTGAGATTAGCGACCAATATTGGTCGCTAAAGTGGGACCCACATTAAATTTGTTAATAATTTTATTATTATTTTATAAAACTTATAAAATATAAATACATATAATTTAAAACTTGCGACCAACGTTGGTCGCTAATTGAAGGATAAGTTGATAGTGACCAACATTGGTCGCTAACATGGGACCCAGTTATAATATTTTAATAAATA